TAAGCTAACTGTATAATGACTTTGAATGAAAACAATGTTGTTGTCATCAGTTTTCTTAATTCCAGTCAGGGCCCGGCCCGGGGCATAGGCAGTATACTGTAGGCAAATGCTGGGGAGCTGGCCGTCCATATAGGACCGTCCTGGCACCCGAAATGAGTGAGGAAGAAAAGTTGAATAAGAAGAAACTTAACTTTCATTTAATGTTATTTTATCTAATGTAAATGTCATGCTATTATTCTGTAATAAAACAAAAGAAGCCAAGAAAACATAACTACATCACCTGTTTAAAAAGTCTCTATTTACTTGCGCCCTGCTCGTTACCTTCTCTTTGTTGGGGAGGAGGGCAGACGAGTGAGTGACACTGACCGTACTGATAAATATAAGGTTTAAAGTCAAACATAAAGCTATATATGCCAGTTTTCTTTAAGTGGATGAACATTGTGATTGGTGGTAGAATTGGTTGCAATACAAGGGGCACCAGCTAAAATCTTGACTAGGGCACCAAGTGAGTTAGGGCCAGCTCTGATTCCAGTTCCATAAAGAGTAAAGTATTTGATAATCACTTGGTTTTCTTATAGCATCATCATTAGGCTGATATCAGTTTGTAAAGGTTAATAAAGTAGATATTTCACCATAAAAACATCAACATATGAGCTTTGATAATGTAGGTATGCTCAGAGTAGACTGCTGTGCTCACTGAGTACACAACAGCTTTTACAGAATGAAACTTAACCAAATGGTTTTTTTTTTTCTCTTTGAAGCAGCTCGTAAAAAACAAAACTGAAAGTCTACTAACATGCTGAGAACTCTAAGAACACAATGTTATTTATTTGTGTTCTGAACTTGTTTCTGCTTGTGCTGCTCTGGCTGATACATTTTGGATTGTTGTGTTTGTTTCATGTCTGCTTATCTGGAGATGTGCTTGTCTGATAAGAGGCAGTGCTATCTGTGCACCTAAAAGGCAACACTTCAGCACATGGCAATGTTGGTGTTTTAAGGCTGGCTGATGACGCATGTGACCGTTAACAGAATCTGAAAAAAAAAAAAAAGAGTACGTGTACAAAACAAAACTTTATTTTCCATGAGTAATAATGTCCTCTTAAATTGGTCTTTTAGATCATCCTATCATCAAATGCTGGGAATTTAACCACAACTCTGTTGTTAAATGGAAAAACCCCAACAAAACTTTATAATCCCGGTGTGGTTGAACGCATCAGTAGTTCTTTGCTTTAAAATGGCCATTTAAGCATTAAACAGTAATGCCTGTTTAACTACAGAGGTTAATATTTAACCATAATCACCTTAAGTGTAGATGATAGGCTCAAAATGATGCTTCATGGTTTTATTGTGTGACTAATGAGTTTATTTTCTCTTAACAAATTGAAAGACAATTTTATATTTTAGATTGCACCTTTATCCTGTCGCTTATAAAATCATTCACCCAACCAATCAACTTGGAACACTTTTATTTCCATTTTTAGTCATGTAAAATATAATTGACACTCTGACATACAAACCATTAAAAATGGTTTCATCACTAAGCAAAAGCATCTTTTACCAGCATTATTCTGAGTAATTCCTTTTTATTGTTGAACTTTCAATTAAATGCATCTTAATATTTCATCAGGTCCAATATTCATTGAACTCACTGCTAAGTTTAACAGCATTTCCAAAACATTTGTTTTCAGATTTCTGCAAGAGCTGGTTGAATGTATTAGTTTCATATTTTAGCCACAGATAAGATCAGCTTACCTCCTCCATGGCTCTGACACAGGTAAGGGAACCTCCAGACGTTACCAAGTCCAACACAGAAGCCCACACAGGTGAGCAGATACTGGGTTTTGTTGTCCCACTTGGGCCTGTCTACAGCCGTCTCTTTCTCCATCCTCTCGAGGTCCTCATAAGAGGGGATCCTCTCTTCAAGGTCCCGGTTGGGAAGAACCAGCCTCATGGTGATTGTTTTTGTAAATTGAGTCTACAGACCCTGAACGTATGGCAGGCTTCCTCAGTAGTTGAGAACTTGGAGGTTTCAGTGCTGCTTGCTATTAGACAGAAAGATCACTGTGTGTGTGACTGTGTTTTATACATGCTCTTTATCTCTCCACCTCATCTGACATCTGGACGAGAGAGACAAAGGACAGAGGTGGTGTCACCACCATGTAGATCATTCCTTATGTGACAAAGTTTGTGTATGCTGGAAAATTCGACATCACACTGTTATTTTGTATCACTTCATGCAAATATGTTGGCCTCATATCATTTCTTAACCACATAACAGAGAGGAACTAAGAATGCATTGTTTGAACACAACTGTCAAATATATGAAAGTTCAATACATCAAAAATGAAAAGGTAACCACAATGCTCTTGCATTATAAGTTTACAGTTTCACTTTCAGCTGTAATCATATACAAATAACTGGGACATCACAAAGGTAAATAACCAAACCCCCAGGTGGGTGACATACCCACAGCTCTGTGTTTGTTCTGCCCTCCGAGTCTGCCTTCTCACTGTTAACAATTTGGCATGGTACAAAAAACCCAAGCCACCCAAACCCGTACAGAGCGGCGTGGTCGAACACAGTTCACTTTCATTTAAAACTATAGATGCAGAAGCAGCCTGTACTGAGCAGAGATAAAATACAGGGGTTTATAGGCATGATCAAATGCAGGATCAGAGTGGATTCAAAACAAGACCGCTGAGACTTATTTAAACTTGTTGAAAAGGAGTATATTTTTGTGACCTTTAAAGTAACATGATCATGTTTCAATGTTTTTTGGGGTAATTAATTATCTTGACATTTTTTTAATGTCTTACCAAGTGAAAACAGATTACAGCACAAGCATCCAAATCTGGTTGTACCGTGCCATTTGGTGCAAGTTGTCAGTTTGTCTGTTTCTGTTTATGAGTAATGCAATACAGTACGTCCTTCTTACCTCTGTGGCACAGCTGAATAAGTAGACTCATAAAAATGAAGAAAACGGGCACACCTTGCCCTTTCACTTAATTCTCAGGCTGACATTGGGAGTTCCACTTTGAATGAAATAGCGCATGGAAATATCTGAAGTTTCCTGTTTTGGTTCTGTGCAGAAGTGGTCATGCTGTCTGTGTTTTTGAAGATTTTTGATAACCGACAGCTATAATTTACAGTTATTGGATTTATCATATTTGTTTTACCACTTGTTGACAACCAACAGGATCTCTTGTATAAAGTGATGGGTGGAAGGTATTAAATATCATAACTCTTCCTTATATCACTCAGCTGGTCGCTTATTTGAATCACATCAACTCATTCAGGCAGATTTATGGTTGAGGATTACCGGTCTATGTTTAGAAATAATTCCTAACCAGCAACACCACAGAAGATAAGGGAACATATAATGAGTTGTTGTCAGAATATGTGAAGATATCTTTGTACTTTAGCCCTTATTTTACAACTCTGCATTTGCTTTAGATGCGCAGTGCTATCATCACCTGCACCAGTACACGTGTCGGTGAATCTTTTTTTTACTCTTAGGGAACCAGTGTTAAAACAAGCCTCCTTTGCCCTCAAGTGGCAACAAAGAGGTGTTATCCCGTGTTTTTCCCTTAAGAGTTGGTCACATAATACGTAACAGATTTATGGATCTTGCTCACAAAGCTAGATAATGTTTACAACTGCATGGGCAAAGGGCATAATGTAAAAAATGGGCTGTGTGAAAACACAAAAATTTGCCTTCCCCCCCCCCCCCACACGCACCATTTGCAGAAAGCTTTCAAGGGGAAGGCACGGGCCTGACCATCAGTTGGGGTTTGAAGGTGTTCCCAAAAGTACTTTCTGGGGATCAAATTAAGACCTCTTAATAAAGGGAAATGTCAAATCTCTTACTATTCCTATGTTTACCTGCACTATAACTAGGCCTACACCAAAGGGTTTTTGAACAATAAGACGTTACTAATAAGTGCAGAAAATGATATACCTTAGGCCTATATCATGATGTAGGCTGCTTTAATAATCATTTGTGGTGTAGTCGTGTGTGCCTTCCGCCTACACAAACAGAAAAATAGCAAAAATAAAAATCTGAAATAATTTGGCTGTGATAAAACAAGTTCAATTATTCTTACATGAACTGATCATGAGCCTACAGTTGGCAAAATATAATATAATTAGTAGATTTAATTTTGTCGAAGCGGTGAAACGGGTGGAACTGATATACTTTTCTAACCTGCAGTTAAACCAAATTTCCACAAGAGGGCGGCATTGGTCAAAAATCGACATTAGCTTGCTTCATAACTGAGCAGCAGACATTTCTCCCTGTAGGGCTGTATGTAAATCTGCACTTGTTGCAATCTGCAGCGAGTAAACATGAAACTTTTATATCATCTTTGTTTTAGTGACCCGAATACATCCAATAAACAATTTCAGAAAATGCCTGAGATTATAAGACCGAATAGGCTACTTTATGATCATTTTATGCAATGTTAAGTTTTGCAATGTTAAGTTTTGGATTAATTTATTTCTCCTATGTTAAAAAAATGTCATCTTTGCTTTTTTTTTTACACTTGTCCTCTGTCGGCTACTTTTTAAAGGATCAGTGAGGTACTTTTCATTTAGGAAGCCACTGCTAAGCCGGGGACACTGACGGGGGGAGGTGAGGCAGAGAGGAAAATAGATTTGGGAAGGGAGGGAGGGAGGGAGGGAGGATTTACTGGGACTCAGACAGACAGCAGACCGGCTGTCCCAAGCTGCACTGATCCTTCACTCTCAGGCTCAGAGAGCTGTGGTCCGCCTGTCGCCTCCCCTTTATCACCGGCCCACCTGCCCCCAGCGACACTAACTATCCAACAGCTCAGGGCGAGTTCATGAAAAGCAAGGAGGCGAGAGGAGAAACTAACCGGCTTTTTGTGGCATCTTTCCGGCTTCTGACAAACTCCCCCCCCACTCCCACCACCCCACCCCTCACACCTCTCCCCCTCTGTGCTGCGGGAGGACACAGTGAGCACAGGGCGCGCTTGGCGACCCGGGTTTGTTGTCGTTACCAGGAGAGGAGCCCACAACGACCACAGCCTCAGCTGGTCCGGCTCTCATTAAACCGGGCTGTCCTCTCAGAGGAGCCACTTTGCATGGATGCACCATGGCCACGTTTGTCTGCAGGGTTCAGTTTTTAGATGACACCGATCCATTCAACAGCACCAACTTCCCAGAACCGACCAGACCACCACTGTACACCTTCAGGGAGGATATCCCCTTCATCAACCAGCTAGCAGGCGTCCACCGGCTGCTCAAAGCTCCACACAAGGTAGGATTACCAGCTTGAATAACCTAGTTTTAACCCATGTTATTCAATGCTTTATGGGAAATATAAATAATATAGCCTGTTGTTGTTATATTTCACCATTATGCAATAAACATTGCTGCAAAACACAGGGACAGCTCCAGATCTGAAAAGAAACGCGTGTTTTATATAGTTGTTTTTTTTTTACATTTGCATGTATTCAAATGTTGAAATAAGGGCCACATGAGGTTGTTTTGCAACCTTAAGGACTGCTGTTCTCTACTTTAGGCATTCTGCAAATAAACTTCCATACCCACGATTCAGAGTCTATTTTGAGAACACATGCAAGCACAACTGATTGGCTCTCCAGACCCAGGACTGAAACAAGGTTGCAAATGTTGCTTTAGAGCCCACAGCAACAATAAACATGGGCTTCATGTGTTTTGGACTAAATATTCTGATTTAATCCCATGTTGGCACACTTTTGCTCCACTGAAGTACCACCGAGAAAATATTCCGGCTCTCAACCTCTGACCCCTCAGTTCAGGGGTCTAGAAATAAGAATACCGTCTCAAAGTGAATAATCCTTTCTTATTGCTAAATATATTTTGCACTTTGCGTAGCATGATACGACGACAGGTGTACAGGGGCAGTAGTGCAACTGGATATATCCTGGGTCGTCTCATTCATCTGTAAGTGACAGTCAACCGCTCTGGTGTCCACAGGGAGCCTGGATCATGGTTGATCAGATTTAGAGTGTCAGATTACAATGGGTGTGTGATAGAAAAAAAAGTGTTTGTGTACCATTCTTAATGAATTCAAGTTACCAAGATGAAAACAGCAACACATTCCTTACTGACAAGGCTGAGTCACACACACACACACACACACACACACACACACACACACACACACACAGAGGCTAAACAAGTGAAGCAGACACTATGAGACCGTGATTTCATTCTTTATTGGCAGAATTTTAATAATTCCAGGTGATTCAAAAAAAAAAAAAAGGTTGAATCAGAGTTAAACTAAAAGTGAGACACAGTGAGAAGGACAGAGTCACATTGCTGGCACACAGCCCCGACAGCAGACCAGCGTTCAACAGCAGAGTGGTTTTCCAGACCAAGTAGATCTTAAACTGCCCCATCTTTAAAAGCCACAAAACAAATGAAAAATGGCCCACAGCACAGAAATGCTTATGATTACAACCTATGCACCGACAGATGGCATGTCCCGCATTCGTGTTTGCAATTTTGTTCACATCAGTAGGACGGCTGTGTGCCATGACAACTGGATATTGAGTTTAGATTATGGGGATGAAACAAAACTGAAGCGAATTTTGCTCTTTAGAGGGGTCGGATGTAAAAGTCAGTGTTTTAAAGGCTTCAGTCCTATTATATAATTTGATAATGTCATAGTTAGCAAGAGTATAACAATTGCATGAACTTTATCTCAGTCTTTCTTTTTTAGAGCAATCTCTTTTTCTTTTTCTTTTTTTTTAAACCTTCAGTCTGTCCTCTGAGAAAAGACAACCATATTATTATGTTGTGATGCTCAGGCTCTGTGTATGGCTGGCTGGGATCGCATTTAAAGTATAGGTCACTTGTCCCAGAATTCCTGCGGCCAGGCCCTGGATCCCTGCGACACTTTGTTCTCCTCACTTTGGCTGCTGTGGTTTTCCTGACCTCTTCCTCCATCTCCTCTTCCACCTCTGTGACCATGCACGAGTTCATACTTTTTAACACAAACACACGTAAACTCACATATAAGGTTGGGCGAGCCTGCCAGGGCTAAATCGGTGCATCGCTGGGTTGTGTGCATGTGGATGTGTCACTTTATCCAAACGGCGAAGAGAAAAAAAAAAAAAAAAAGATTCCTTTAAATTTCCCACTTTTTATCTCCTAGGTTAAGAGAAATAAAACGATAAAGGTGACAGAAACAAGTTAATAGAAGTAGAACGTTTGATTTCATATTAGGTATGAAGGTGAGGAAATACCCCTTAAATGTTAGATGTTAAGCTCAATACATGAGCTTCCCAATCAGTCATGCACCTACAAAAAAAAAAAACCCATACCCCTCGAAAAACCAAAAAGCTCCGACTTCACAGCTCAACTTGTATTTCATTACCAAAAGGGTTCCCATTAAAGCAACACTGGGAGGTTTAATAGCCGTGTAGAACACACCCTCCTCCCTGCTCTTCAAAGAGCACGATCCTTTGTGGCTCAGATTTTGACACACAAAAAAAGTTCTTTAAAAACTCATCGTCTGAGTTACGTAAGGCCATTGTTAACTGTCAACGCAGCGTGATCGCCAGCAGGCTTTGTGTTGTTTTAACGTGGAAGTAATTACTCCCAAACCCCCACTTGTTTTTTTTTTTTGTTTTTTTTTCTCTGCTTCACTCTTTTTGAAAGAATTTGATGAAATGAGTGTAAAGTATACCAAGCCACTAAGTGTTTCGCTGGCCCTTCTCGGAGCCTTGAGTGTGAGGAGCTTTGCGGTTCGCTCTGGAGCCACCTCTCTGCCGGCTCCGTCCAGAATGATGTCTGTTAATTATAATGTTATTACTGCTTGTGCCCAAACAAAGTGTTTAAGGAAAGAGACTCCATTTGGAGGGCGAGCTGTTAACAAATTTGATTACAGAGTGGTCCAGTGCTCCCTAATCACTACACAAGTAGTATCTGTATGATTAAGTAATGAGTGTAGAAAAAGCTGAGCGGGTGAGAAAAGCAGGCAGTTAAAGTTGTGGTGCAACTCAGTGTTGGGACATTTCTTTGACAGTATGGGGAATGTTTTTGGTGATAATTAAAAGTTGCTTAAAAGGTCTGAATGATGCTACCTGATTGGACACAAGAAAATGATGGATTGAACTTTACTGTCAGACAAAGACTAAAATTAGTCTTGCTTCACAGCGGCTCCATTTGGAACAATAACAATGAAAGACTAGATTCAAAGAACATTTGACAACATTCAAACAAATATTCAGAGGCCTTCAACGTGCTTCAGCCTAGTTTTCAACTTCATATTCGATTTAAGGATTGTCTGGTATAAGAGTACTTCAGTCTCACTAATGAAAACATGGGACCTGTTTTTTTCTTTGTCTTACTTCAACATGAAAACTGGGGCACTGGGACCCCCCCCCACCCCCCCCCCCACACACACACACACACACACACACGTCTTTGTCTTCACCCCCCATGTGTTATAAAAACATCCATCTGTGATTTACCAAATCTCACATGTTATATTTGCATGAAAAAGGTCAATCATAATGACACTGAGATAATTCAATAGCAGGAGACACTGGGGTTAAATAACAAAAATGGTCCCCTTAACTATGCTAGCATCTTGGCAGGCATGCACACATTTTTGTTTGACATTCATGATCCATGATGAGATTAGCACTCCTCTAATTTTTTCTCTGGTCTCATTATGGGCTTGACACTTTGTCCATTAACTTCTAAGAATGGACACCTCATTGGACAAATTCCTTGAATACCAAACAATACAAAACTGATGATAAGCCAATCAGCATTATATGCACTTTTTCTTTGCTGCCAAAGTAGGACTTTTGCATTGTTGTTTTTCTCCCTGTTGTTTGCATTGTTGTTTTCGCGCTGCATGTGTGCATGTTAGAGTAAGAATTAACTTAGCATTGGTAAATGTCCACATAATGTCTGTTTACTATCTTTTTTTCTTAGTTTTCAACCAAATGTTTTCATCTTGGGTCTTCTTCTTTGGAAACTACACTGTAATGAATTTTTTTTATTTTTTTTATTGTTATTTCAATTAAGACTGGGTCAAATAAATGGGTGCTTAGAGCCCAGGCGGATTGAGGTCATTGTAGGGGGGGTACGGGGAAATTGGAGCAGAACCAATATTCATTCAAAGTTTAAGATTTGGATAGCTAACAGAATGGATAACATGTTTGTACATTTATCCGTCTTCAATGCACCTTAAGGGCTTCTCTTAAGAAAAGCTTTGGCCTTGGAATTGCCCCACTTTAACTCCAAGCCCATGCGGACACACCCACCCTTGAGCTCCTGTGCGCATGCTGCCTCAGAACAGAGTAAATATAGCAAGGTTATATTTATGTTGTGAGTCCATCCGACAGTCCGTCTCTGTGTTTCCAAGTGAGCTGGAGGGACAAGGCAGAGTGCAGCAGCAGGTCTTGTGAACTGCGGTCTCTGCTGGTCAGAGGGTGTCGTCATGCAACTTGACACAGACGGCCAGGGGGCGTTTGGCAGCACACCAGAGGCCAGGCTACGTTAGGTCTACCAGTGTCATTGTGGTGCTAAATGCTACCTCAACTCGTGACTCTGATCTCATTGAACTATTCATGCACAAGCAGTTTAAACAAAAAGATGTGTAGCACATCGCTGATGTATTCAATGATGTATGTAACTTTTTATGAGCTGTAGCTGTTCACACCTGCTATCAACTTGTGACTGTACTCATAAACATCAATGCCAGAGCTGTGGAGATATATTTCTGGTGCACCTGGTCTCAAACTCAGCAGGGTTTCTCATTACAAAGTGGGTTCACTCTGTCACAGGCATCTCTGCAGTTATGCACAATTTGTCATGTAGAAATGAACAGATATGTAAAATATGTGTGCTGGAGAAAGGATAATTGCTCCTTCCATAAATAAGCAGTCTCAAGTGTTCACGAGCGTCACATTTACAAAATTAAGATATCATTTGAAGTGTTATTTTTCCTGCAGCTTGCATTCAAATATATCTCTCCCTCCTTGTTTCCCTCTGGTTTTGGTTTCATGTTCTGCTGTCTTTATAGCTACGTCTCGACTAGTTAATTCCCCTAACAGATTTGTAATGTTGAAAGCGGAGACATGCCTCATATGGCTCTCCCACTTTACACAAATCCCTGTACACACACGTGTTTAAATGTTTGCCTGGTTAACTGGCTTCATTTTGCGGACTCAAATTGTTTTCCAAAGAGTGTGAAACACATGCAGGGATTTAGTGAGGGAGTATTAAAACATTTTGGACCCAGAGACCCATGTCATTCCTGCGGGTGATTCTTTTATGCATATCACAGCCAGGGCAGGGACATTTTATATCATACACATCATATTTTCCATCCTTTTTTAGGTATAAATGTCAATTTAAGCTGGTAGCAGCTTTTGATTTAGTAGTTAGCCCTTAGTTTTCTTTACTGAAGCTGAATTAAATTGTAGTTCAGGTCCATTTCATTTATTGGTACTTTTGTGTTAAAGAGTCTATTTTTCTTTCTTTTCCGTAGCTTGATGACTGCACGCTGCAGCTCTCCCACAATGGCACCTATCTGGATCTGGAGTCCTCTCTGGCTGAGCAAAGGGACGAGCTGGAGGGCTTTCAGCAGGACGACACAGGGTGAGACTGAATTACACCTAAATCCTTTATTGCCTTTGCACTTTCCGTCTTTCTCAAACACAGCACACTTTGAGTTTTTACATTCTTATAAAACAGAGGAATCACAAACTCTTTAATATGAATACCTTGGAAACACAAGTTCACGGAAAGTATGAAGTGCTTTGGAAAGCGGGACAGCATGCCCTCCCTCCCTCCCTCCCACAGCTTGTTTCACTCTTGTGCTTTTACAATAATTTAACTTTTTGTTGAAGAAAAAAATAGCGTTTACTAACCTTTCAACTCTTGAAGAAACGGAATAATAATGTTGTAACCGTTGTCATACACTGTTTTCAATTTCCCAAATGTCCCAGCAGCAGTGTTCCCTTTGTGACAGCAATAGAAATGGAAAATGTAAACCTGCTACAGGACTTCCCTCACAAAACGGTAGAACAGAGGTAAGCCATGCAGGGCCTAGATCAGTGGTTCACAACCTTTTTTGGCTTGTGACCCCTCTTTGAATTCGCAAAACTCTGGCAACCCCAGACATCCAAAACTCATATAGCTTTTTGCTGAATTTTGTTTTGTTTTTATAATGTTATGGTCTTTCTTCTGTGTTGCAGTAAACATTCATTCAAGACCACATTTAGGCTTTTTTCGTGTAAACGATTTTTGGACAGAGGAAGACCCATTTGAATTTCATGCACCCCACATGGGGTCGGCACCCCACAAGGTTGGGAAAGCCTGGCCTAGATCCTGACACACCTTTCCCAATTCCGCCTATAGGCCTACTGTAGATTGTGGCCGCAAAAGCCATGAAGCCTATTTTTAAGTGGGATTCAGTGTTGCCAGTAGCACACCAATTTCTGAATTTGTATGATCATTTAACTCTTTTTACAGTTTCAAGAACAACTGTAGGCCTAAATGTTCAATTATTAACATGACGAGGCATTTTCTACATACCGTGAGCAAAACTGACCCTGGATCTGCGATAATAATAATAATAGGCCATTAAAAACTCAATAAAACTGGATTTTGAACACCTGGAAGCATTGTACAGGTACCACGGCTACATGTGACTACTCACACAGTGAGAAAATCTGAAGCTAGCATAAGCTAACTGATTCAACAAAGGAACTGTCTGAATAGAAAATACAAGTCTGGAGGAGTTTTTTAGTAAGTTACTGAATAAAATACCAAGATTTGTTTCCAAATGTTTTGGTTCTTTGACAGCATCAGTGATTTTGTCCTTAGTGCCATGCCTAGCTTGGCAGCCATTTGTTTGTGTTATGTTGGTAATATTTACCAGCAAGCTGGCCAGTTTAGTTAGCCAACAATAAAAGAAGTGAGCAAAAGAGTCTGCTAACAATAGCTAACCTTACTAACTATATGTTGGCTAGCTAACTTTTGTGAACGATGAGTTGCTGATCTTGGCAAACGAGGTGTTTTTACTTTAGCTTGTTAGCAGTTAAAAACATTAGCTGCTTCCAAAATGCTTCCAATGCTGCTGTTAATACGGCACAACATTAAAAAAGCTCTTTGTGTTTTTTGCTGTTGCCTCCAACATTAACGATGAAGCGCTGTCATTTGGGGTTTTGAGAAAAACACAGAGTAGCTTGCTGTTAACTTACCGCATGCAAGTGTGTGACAGTGTGCGTTTGTGGGTAGTTGTGGTATGTGGATGTGTTTGAGACGGGCTGCAGTATGATAAGTGATGGCAGACCCACAGAGCTGTGTTTTTCTTAGCCTGTTTCTGTTTGCTTGTTTCCATGTATATCTTTCTATTTGTCTTTGTGTGTGTGTGTGTGTGTCTGTCTGTCTTTTAAGCCTTTTGGAACATGATGGAAAGCTGTGTGTTTCAAAAGAAGTTGACATGTCAGGGAACTGGTTAGATTGGACGGGCCTGTGTTGCATCCTTTTAAACTTGGCTGTTCTTGTCGAGGTCAAACTACAAGTGAAGGAAATGAGTCACACACTGAGTTGAGTTTTCCCCTTTCTTGACCAAACATCACAAGGGTTAAGGAAGCTTAAAACTCAGTTCATCAGAAAACTATTTATTAAAAGTGTGTCAGAAATGAAAAATCTAATCACATTTAATATCCGAGCCCTGTACCTAATAATTTTATTGTGCTGAAAAGTCGGGAAGGCAAAGAATTTAAGGAAGACTAGTTGTGTATCTACATCACTTGTGAATGTATTGAGCTGTATTTTAGTACTTACTCCCAAACCTCCGGTTACTATTTCATAATACATGAATTTTACCTCATCTGTACGTGTCCATTTAAATCTGTGATGGCCTTATGGACACTTTTCACATGTGGAAAGCATATTTTCTAATTTATAAATCCTGGGTTTAACAATGCTTCTTTTTTTTTTTTGTATTGAAAAATGTTAAGAGGGTTGTGAAATGTAGATTGGTGTAATGTGATTCCAATCCATAATTGATGTTCCCACACATGTTAAATGTGTTTTGCTCCCAGCTGGGGCAGGACACTGCTGACCACAGTTGACAGTAAACAAGGTCCTCTGGTGACGCGGACAGCTCTAGTGCTTTCACTAAAAGTAAGAAGAGAGACAACATTTCAAAGAAATGCTGTAGATTATCACGCAAACGGTTTTTGCATAATTCAAAAATATATTTGGAATATTGATTCTAACATTGTAAATCTAAAAAGATAAGGATTACTGCATAAATGATCTTTTCTACTCCCACATTTATTGGTTGCGTAATGAGTCTGTTTTCCCTTTGACGTACACTGAATAGCTTCTTTCTCCCCGAGTCTCTGAGTTTACTTTTTCCTCTCATAATACATCATCAGACGAAGGGAAATAAAATTGCCAGAAAAACTAATTTCTATCAGCATCTCCACAGATCGTGTTAACATTTTGCTCTATTTCCGAGCAAAGCTGATAACACAGCTTAAGAGCAGGATAAGAGGCCAGCTGGTCTCTTGTTTGGGTGTGTGCTATTGCAGCGGTGTGTTTTATCAGAGCAGTGCTTTCCCTGCTTGGGTTGCATGCTATCAGCGTGTTTGTGATGGAGGTTCGGTGATTAGCTCCCACAGATGAGACGATAAAAACTAAGGTTAGCCGAGAGAGTTTGAATTGCTCTCAAAATACCATCATATTTTACCTGTATTTTTGTGTGTGCTCATTTTTGTTTTCCCACTGGAAATATGCTGCGTATGAATGTGTGATCACGATGGTATGTGGCGGTGCGCGCACGCGCGTGTGTGTGCTCCTGCATTTCTGCTGTCTGTCCTCAAGGCTCAGATGTGTATCAGTATGAGGGCACAAATCCAATGCAGGCCACTGTTTGTCTGCACCATTCCCATCATAACAACTACATCAGCATGAGAATTGTTCCAATGTTGATTCCATTTTCAAAAGAGAAGTATCTGATACCACCTTAAATCACATGCTGATCTTATTATAAAATGTAATAACTCTCCTTCTGTGAAAGAGCGGCGAAGTAGAACTGAGGTAAATTGTTATGTGATGGCATTGCTATCAAACATAAACGTATAATAAACTCCTGCACACAACTTGCCAATTAATGTGTGTTTGCAAGCTAGACAGTGGCTGTGTGGGAGTTTACCTTCAGCTTTTTGATGAGCGCATCTGCCGTATGAAATAGATGTAGGATGGTTTTTTCTTTATTGCTTGCAAACAGGATAGTCACTTCTGAAGATTCCTTCACCGAGGCCAAACATACAACATCCATGCAAGGATTTTATACAGCTGTTAACAATGATACATATCGGTAATATGTTTCATTTTTGGCATCAGAGGAGTGATATGTATCAGCTAACACTCATGTTCAGGTCCCAGAGTTCCTATTGGGAAGAACAAAGTGGGACCATATCATCTACTGTAAAAACTATCAAAGATTTATTGAGACTACTCAAAGCGCTTTTACACGGCAGGTCACACCTACCCATTCACACACTGATGGCAGAGTTTTCTATGTAAAGTGACCATCAGAAGTCACTAATCCTGGGAGCGCCGGTAGCCTAGTGGTTAGTGTGTGTGCCCCATGTAATGGAGGCTGTAGTCCTTTAGGCAGGCGGCCCAGATTTGAGAAAGTGTGCAAAACTAAGGCTCGGTTGCTTTCATAAAGATATCTCTGAATAAATATTAATAAATCTGCTGCTCTCGTCTTCGACAGGTCCAGGGGGAAGAAGCACAGTGTTATTCTACGGACCCAGCTGACCGTCCGTGTACACGCCTGCATCGGTGAGTGCCGTGTGACATGTTTATGTATGTGTTTAAACAGGAGTTTCCCCCCTGTACAACCACACATGTCCATTTAAACACACACACACACACACACACACAGTATATGCCTAAGGACACAATGTACAACACATTCAGATGACCATCCAGGGGGTTTACATGAGGTGCATGCTAGGGTCACTTCTGAGACCTCCCACTCTGAGGCAGTTTGACTGGTATGCTAAATTTCTGTTTTCAACATATTATTGAAATTATGTCAGTAATGGAATTAAACATGTTTGTTGGGAGATTTAACCTGGTGTAGTGACGGACAATATACAGTGTGTTTCTTTTGTGGCTCTTAGTTTACAGTGAAGTTGCTCCGCCTTTTCCCTTCTCAGTCTGGCAAAGTGTTTACAGTTTGATGTTTGTTCCTCTTAGTTTTTAAAGATGAAAAGGTGAAGGGAGGGATGTTTTATCATTCAATATCAGATGTGGTACTGAAAAATTATAAAATCAGGAAAGGGAAACAGTTTTGGATAAGAGGAAGGAGAAGACAATCATTTGAGAGAAAGGTGGAGAAAGGTGATGGTAAGAGATGGTGGGTGACACATTGACAAGCAGCACAAAGCCTTTAATAAACAGTTGAACTGTTTCATGAATAAGACAAAATCATTCTTGCAGATCAGGCCCTGACATGCCAAAAGTCAAGATTTTTTTATGGATTAAAGATACATATTTAGCAGTAGCACATTTTTTTTCAATCAATCAATCAATCAATCCATCAATCATTATTTGTATAGCGCAAGTGTTATCTGGAGACGCTTTACAAAAGAGCATATGGGATAATATGCAGGCAGGATTTCTCGTTCGTATTCGTCCCGTTCCTGTTGTCCACACTTCCTTGCCGCAGAGGTTGAGGTCGGAGCAGGACGTGCATGAATGAGGACGGCGGTGGTTGTCTGGACGACACAGTCCGCTGGTGGGGGCAGAGCGTTGGCTGGTGTAGTAAATATAAAGACGAAACATAAGCCGAACGGTCTTTAACGCACAATTTTACACATGCACGCGTCTGTCAGACGCCTCATTTTCTGTAGTCATTTCACGACAACACAACTCGGCTTCTGTTTCTTATTCTGGCTGTCTGTCCATGCTCCTTTCTGCTGTCCTCCATGTCTGTCCACATGGTCCACATTCTCCATGCCAGTGATAGCAGTGCTAATTCTGGATCCTTGAATCAGTGCCTCGGTTGGTTGAGAATGTGTTGAGGTCAGAGGTCACCACAATGGTGTTAAGGAGAAAGACATGCACAGTTGCACAAAATAAATCCCATAGGTGATAAATTCACGTTTTCAAAAATGCAGACATAACAAAAATAAAAACGGGTTAAGAAACAGTTGATTTAAAACTATTAAGATGACACTTTCTGTCATGCCAACAGAGATGTCTTTCACACACCCAGAAACAAACTCTTCCAAAAAAAGGCGTTTCTATTCCTCATCTGGCTTCGGAAAAAAACCTCTTAAAACTCTCCCAGCATAATTTGAAAAACAACTTATACCATGTTCCACACTTGTTAAAAATAAGAGGCTGCATCATAACCATAGGAGATGCATTTCCTTTTGATGGGCAGGAGTAAAACTTCAACTTTACCCAATGCCAAGGCTTGATGATAGAGTTCGCTCAAATACTGACTGCAATCCAGATTTGATTCAACATGGCACAGATGCTGATCAGCAACCAGATCCCGACTGGAGTTTAATGCCCTGGAGCTGCACTCTGTAATTCTGCTGCATTAAACAGATGTGTAATCAGATAACACCATGCGAGTTGGAGTGATCCATTCACTTTAGAGATCTACTGACCATTTTCCAACCCCCTCTCCTGAGATGCCTCGGTGATTCTGTTCAGCTCTCCATCCATCTACCCGTTTAACACTCTCTAATCTCTGGGGACTTGACCTTCAAATCGCCTGAGTATAGTGGACACCACACTATCCACTGGATAAAACGTCTGTCACAATCAGGGAAACAAATTGCTTACAAAATCAAGTATCTGTAGCTCTCAATTAGTCTGCTGATATATTAAGATTGCATGTCTTGGGTTTAAAATAAATGCACTGATTGATAACTGTGTGGCATGGCAGTTAATTTGATTGTTGTGACTGAAATACAGGAAATAATCAATTTCTTAGAGATTCCCTTAATCTTGCCGTGTTCACCAGCTTTCAGTTTTGATTGAAAAGATGAGGATTTGATTGTATCCAGGTCAATCGTTAGGGAGATCTTAGGGTTTGTGACCTTCTTCAGTTTAATGAAGAACGCTTTGGAAGAGACGCTTTGGATAAAAAGCGTCTGCTAAGTGAATTGTAGAATTGTAATGATCTTCTCAACATCACTGTGAGAAACACAGACCTCCTTTTCATTTCTTTGCACGGACGCTGACGGAAAGATCGAATTACAAATCAGGCTGGCCAGTTTGGGATTAAGGATGCTCTGTGGCTCGTGTGTGCGAGCGAGGGTGTGATAATGTGGACGAGTTAATGAGTTTCTCCGTGTACGAAAAAGAGAACACACGGGCGTGATTAAACAAAGCATTGGGTTTTTTTCTGCCGGTGTAAGCACACCTCTGCAGGCCATGTGTGTGCACTGGAGAGGCCTTCATGCCACTTTAATGATCCTGCTCTTCTCAGCACTCACTGCGTGGCTCCTCAAGGGCGATTAAGGTTAATCTAACAAGAAGTCTTTTTTTTTTCGTGTATGAGTGGAGGTTGTCCTGAGTGTCCTTATCTTTTAGGTTTTGCTCTGAATCATATTTTCAGATATTTTTTTGAAGTTCTCTCTTTAATTCTGTTGTTCCTTTTTTTTTTTCTTTCATTATCTGCTCACGTGCCCTCTGTCCTTAACCTCCTCCCTGACTCTCAGTTTATCCTGCGGCCTGCCGTCCCATCAGAGTGCCAATGAGAACCCCTAGTTTAAGGGTTAATTTTAGCCATCTCAGAGTTGTTGTAGACTGTTGCTGGCGGGTGGAGAGAGGTGGCTCTGGGATGGGGGTGAAGCGGAGGTGTTATCTTTAGAAAGTGTTGACAGCACAGAAACATGTGAGAAAGGCAGCATCATGCTGAGCCTGATATATATATATATACACACCCTCGTTTAGCTCAGCTTTGGGCTTCACAAACAAAACAAACAAACAAACACACATACATATACATATATAGTGTATCTGGCCATTCAGCAGCTAAACACTTTTCAGGGTTTGTTTTGTGTTAAAAAATCTTCTACCTGCATACAGAGGGGGACGTCTATGAGGCAAAAGTATCAGGACAGAAAGCCAAAACAATCACCCACCACTTGATATGAAGATCTGTAGAGCTGAGAGGAACTATAGGTCAGGTAGTTATGTTTTACTGTGCAGTCATATAAACCGTTGTTGACATATTTTATAGCTATTTGAAGCTAAGTTGGCAACAGTAGAGGAACTTGTAAAGCTATGGTACAATGAGAAAATGATCAAATATGGTCCCCATAAAAACATGAGCTGCCTCACTTGTGACACAGAACAAGTCATTGACAGAGTAACTCAAAAACATTACCTGCCTCCCAGAAATAAATACTTGACATGGCTTTTCTTTTCATGTTATGCATTTCATTAGCTGATTGCTTTCTTGCTGTAAAGACAATTACAACAAATGTACACTGCTATAAAATACAATGACCCACTCTTGAGTTCAAGGCTACATTGTTTTTATTGTTTGAGTAGGTTTAGTTATCATTGCGCTTACACTGGTTTACCTACTTTACACATAACAAAACATCATAGACAATGAACCGGTTTTATAGCCAAAGTTTGAAAGAGCTAACGCTAAATCCACAAATGAAGCTGCACGCTTTTGCTGAACACAAACTGATATTTATATTTCATTCAACTGGACATTTTGTACCAGAATGTTCTTAGAAATCTCAAATCTTCAGTTGCCCATGCGGCCTCTTTTCCAGCCTCTCCTGAAGTGAAAGTCTCTGCAGTAATTAAATACAGTTGAAGTGATCAAATATAGAGAAGGTATGCTGTATGACAGGTAAAAGCCCCCCCCCCCTGTAGTGAGTGCAACAGCAGGTGAAACAAAAGAGTCGGAGTGCAGAACAAAAGACCTTGCATGTGTTTTTGGAGCCAGCTCAATCCCTTTTGGCACTTAGCTCTGGAATTTAGCCCCTTTCCTTAAAAAAATTTGGCTTCAATACTGTTGGATTTTTGCACCCCAATTATCCATCTCTAATTACCCCCCACAGTATTGTAAAGGAGAGTCGGGGGGCTGGAGGTTTTAGATGGAGTAAAGGTTGACTTGCTTTGATTTTTCTCTGGTTGTGCTGTTACATAACAAATTCACAGGCTGTCGAACACGCAGTGGAAGATTATGTTGTCTCTCTTTGCCCATTTAACCCAAATGTTTGCTTTCAGTGAAGGACTCACATTTACCAAAACACCTGAAGTCTTGTGTAATGTCCTGTGTTTGTTTGTTGTCATTATCCTACTTTCAGTGAAGTAATAGACATGGGTACAAAAACAAGGGTTTGTGGTATCTGTATTTATACACCATTGAGAGATATGTTGAGGTTTTGAAGGCATCAGAAAGAGTTAGATAAATCAAAATCTCTGTGCCGACACGGTGGTCTCTCATGATAAAGCAGTTGTCACTGTTCAGTGTTGCCTTGCCGATGGGGGTGCAGTGGTAGTGACAGCAGTTTGGCCTTGAGAGATGCTGCAGAAAGAGAGGACTACAGCTGGTCCTAACAGCAATTTACTGTGTCGGTGTCCCCCCGCTGTGGGAGATAAGGCCTGGTAATGGCATGGTGTGACAGGGAGATAATACTTGGTAATGGGTAAGCTGAAAGGGGGGAGGCGTATAGGACATCTGTGGCTGTGCAGTAGTGAAACTCCAGACACATCATATTACATTTTAACTACTTTTCAATCTGGCAGCATGTCCCCTTTATCCTTTTTTTTAAGTCTGCTTTGCTCTA